AAATTAATTGAATTATTTATTTTTATTTTTTATTTATTTATTTTTGCATATAATGTCTTAGAAAAATTAACCCTGTATGATTACATAGTTTTAATAGTATACCTATAGTTGTAAATGGAATTACAAAAACCCGCGTTGAGTACCGTAGCCATCCTTGTTCCTCGTAACTCAAGTTTGTTATAATAATAAATAGTAATAATATTGATAACAAAAATATTTTTTTTTCGTAACTCTACAATCCACACGAAGAATATAACAAAATTAAAATTAAATTTAAAACTAAAATTTCAGAAGTTATTCCTTTCTAATAAAATCTCTCTTTTTATTTTTATTAGTAGCTGAAATGTATTTCCTGTGGTCACATTAAAGTAGTCTTACATAAATTCGGCAAGAAAATATTACTCATAATCCATATGGATTATAAGATTTCAGGAACAGGTGCATCTGTATTTACCTGTAAGAGTATTGCAATTTCGGCAATTCAAAGAGTTTGCGCTCCGTCTCGTTTTCTATTTCAATAAATTTACCAACGACTCGAAATTCGCATTCAGTTGTGAACGATTTTGGCTATTTAATGTGTTTCAGGCATGGATGAAGCTATTCAATGTTTGCTTTTGCCATAATTCGATAATATGTTAACAAATTTTGCATTTTGCGGCAAACGTGTTGCAAGTAGCTAAGTGCTATTAAATGCGGCACAAATGCGCCAGCTGAAGTGTCCAGAAAGCCACTTAAAACAGACACTCAACTATACAAATAAATATATACCAATATATGCATATATATATGCTTCATATACATGTATAAATATATTCCAAATGCACTTTGCATCGCACACAATTATTGTAATTTTCTATGAGGCAGTGAAATGGAAAATCAGATTAAATATTTAAATCGTAGAGCAGCCTGTGGCTAGCCAGAACTACGTGTATATGCTAACACATGTGTGTATGGGTGTGTGTGAAAAGCTCTCTATAACTGTGGAAAATTTATTGCAAGTACATTTTATTTAAATGCTTTTCATTCTGACAATGACAGCGGCGGCGGGTCTGAAGAGCAGAGCAGAGCAACGTGGGGTCAAGAAATGCCCAATGACAAATGCAAAAAGCTGCCAAAAAATAACACACCAATGCATTGGCATGTGTGTGCGAATGGGTATGTGTAGGTTTGTGGGTGTGTGCTTTGTCGACAACCACAAGAAAATAAAAGTGTCATTTTATAAATGCAAACTTAATCATTTGCAGTCTGCAGTTCGACCATAAAATCAAACAAAGCTACCCAGCCAAAATTCTTAATTGATTTTTTTAATATTTTAATAATATCTTTGCAAAAATTTAAAATAGTCAAGAGCTGCATATGTGTGTATGCAAGGGTAAATTTGCGCATATATTCGACGCAATCCAACAAGGTTGTTCATATTTAACAGACCCATGTTATTTTTTTTTTCTGCATAATTTAAAGAAAAATTTATTGTTGATATTAATAAAAATCATTTAGTTCAAGAGATTTGTGGCCATTACTTTTTGAATATAATATCTCTCAACTGGCCCTTAGCTTATAATAAAAAAAAAAGACTAAGTTAAAAATTAAGCAATAACAAAAAAAAAAAAAGGAAAATAAAATAAGAACAAACATATATATAATAAATTTCCAATATCTCTCAACTGGCCCTGAGCTTGTAATAAATTAAGACTAAAAATTAAGCAAAAACAAAAAAATTAAAAAAAAAAAATTAAAAGCAAACATATATATAATTAACTTCTAAATTGCAAACATGAATTCTCTTCAAAATGCTAAGCTTTTCGCTCTTTATATCATTTAGCTTTTTTTCTTTCATTTATTTTTTTATTTGTATTATTTCAAATAAATTTGCTATAATAATTTATTTATATTATTTATTTTTTAATTCTAAGCGTCTCTTAATGTATATCAGAGCTTTGCAGCACGACGTCTATTAGATTATCAACGTTGATGCTGAATAGGTTATTGTTTTTGTTGTTGTTGTTTTGGCTGCTTTTACTGCGGCTAAGGCTGAGCCTCGTAATAGACATGAGACACTGTTCCCTGCGCACTGTGACATATCAATCATGTCAGTTGACCAAGCGGAAATCGAGTTTTGTTTCGTGATGCCGTCTGTCGTCTGTTTTTAGGAAGTTTTCTGGTAACTTTGCTGCCTCATCTTTGGCTGGCCGTAAAAACATGCCACCAATATGCTGTTGTGGATGAAATTCGTTAAAATCCTTTTGGCCACCTTTTGTCTCAGAGATTTACATGTTGGCCTGCTCTCGATTTGGATGGTGCTCAGGATGGTTGGGTGTGGCTGAAAGCCTGTTTGTTTGGCTATCCACATGGCGTGTCCTGTGCGCTGCATGGCAAGTGATAAAGGCGACACCCGGGGCAACTAACTAAAATTTGATGCTCGAACAAAAGCCGCTTGCCCAGCCAGCAAGCCACAGCAGCAAAACCAATCGAAGTCAGTTCAAGATTTTGCGTTCGGATTTGCATTTGAATGAGAAATGAGAAGTGGACAAGTTTGAGTCTAGATTTTTAGCAGATACCCTATAGAAGAATATATCAAATGGCAAGTGAAGATATGAAGATAAAAGTATTATCATCTTTTTATGATGTTTGTGGCGAACAGAGATATGGATGAGTTATGAGAGTTCCTGATAGTCTCATAAATAAACTCCAATATCTTTTCAGTATACCTTGAGATGTGTCCCAGCTATTATTTATTATTAAATTATTCAATTTCTCTTATCTACTTTTCATATAAATTTCTTTACAGGGTATTTTCGAGCCAATCACTTAAGCATCGCTGTAAGTATTCCAACTTGTTGTTCTCTGTTGTTGTGGTTTAGCTCAAGTACTCGTTCGTATGGGGTTCTTGGTTTTGCGGATCTATTGTCTTTTATTTGTTTGCTTGCCAACAGCCAACAGCAACAACAGCAGCAACAACAATTACAACAACATTTACAGCAAAGACAGCACACTATGAAAGTTTTTGGCTATCAGCAGGCAACAATTGAAAATTTGAAATGTTCTTTGTTTAATAGCGAATTTCATATTGCATTTTCCATGCTTTTTGTATGCCAATAACTGGCTCAAGATTATTTAGTCTAAGTCTAAGGATTAAGTTTTGCCCAATGCACTGGTTGTTTCGGCAAAATGTTAATTAAAAAAGGATTTTACAGGCAAATAGTTTTTGTAAGGATTAAAAAAATTATGTTTTTATGTTGCTTAAAGAAGTAAAATGTTTAACTTATGGCAAAATATATTTGTATGACTTGTAATTACAGTTATGGAATATATACATCAAATAAAATATAATAATACTAAAAGTATTAAAAGCAATATAATAAGTAATATGTATTTTAAATTTAT